TTAGTTAGAACAGCTAGAGAGGGCGCTTAGGCGCTGAAGATTACTGTCTTTTCTTTTCTTTTTGTTATTAGTTAGTAAGAGGTTGGGACTAGATAGTCGGAGTTTGTTTTGTTTCTTTCTTTTATTTGGCGTCACTATTTATGTCCTTATTCTCTTGGGTTGTTTATTTTTTTGAACTCTCAATCTGTTTATATTTTGTTTATTTTCTTGGTGTCCACAAATATATTTATCATCATTATTATTATTGTCCATCTTTTGCATTTACACTTCAAGTACAATAAACCGTACTTTATTTTCTTTCATAATACTTTGTTGTGTCGTCTCTTGCCACCTTAAATACACCATCTTCTGGTCACGACCTCAATGTTGCCCCTTTAAAGACCTTTTGTCTAAGGGTGCGTAACATTTAATGGGGGCTCGTCCGGGATATTTAATCTCAAGTTAATTTAGTTGTGATCAGTTGTGTGTGTGTATGCTAGTGGTAAGTGACCTTACGTTAGTTTGGCGGCATATTCATGCAGAGTAGTATTTTTGTACTTGTTTGCTGGTTGTGCATCATGGAAATGTTTAGCTTGCAAAAGTTCATTGCCAACCCGTCTTTTGAACAGATTAGTTCATGTAAGAAGCAAGACTTAGTGCTGATAGCTGATCACTATCAGGTTGTGGTGAGTAGACAAGCTCTTAAGAGTGAGATAAAAAGTAAGTTGATACAACGTTTAAAAGAGATCAATGTTCTTCCTATGTCAAATGCCGTGGGTGATGAGGAGGCTAGCGGAGGTGTTGGTGTGAGTGACGTTGCAGTGGCACATCGCAGTTTTGTGGATGATGAGGATAAGCGGAGCGGTAGAGCTGATGCTGAGGCGGAGGTGAGGGCCGAGGCTAAGGCCGGCTTGCCACCGTTTGATCCATTCTCTCCCAGTTCTGTTGATTCGAGAGACGGCGCGCGACTGAAAGTCCGCTTAGCCCGTTTACAATATGAGGCGCAGGAGAAAGCCGAGGCACGTCAAGCTGAGATAAATCTGCGTTTGGAAGTACGCAGGCTTGAAATTGAGGCTGAGACTCAGGTAAAGCTGCGACAGCTCGATCTGGACGCGATGCAGATCACTGCCAGTTCGGCTGCGCAGTCGAATCCAGGTCCGGTCTCTGATGTTCCTCCGCGGTCTGATTCATCCCAGGTGAGATTTGACATAAGTAAGCACATTGTCTTAGTTCCCCAGTTCAGAGAATCAGAAGTAGATTCTTATTTTAATGCTTTTGAACGAATAGCTACTTCTCTTCGATGGCCTAAAGACGTCTGGTCTTTATTGTTACAGTGTAAATTGATTGGAAAAGCTCAAGAGGTTTGTTCTACTTTATCTTTAGAAGAAAGTTTAAAGTATGAGTCTATGAAGTCTGCTATACTTCGTGCTTATGAATTAGTTCCAGAGGCATATCGGCAGAAGTTTCGGGGACATAAAAAAAATTCGGCTCAGACATTTGTGGAATTTGCTAGAGACAAAGGAATTTTGTTCGACAAGTGGTGCACAGCTAGCAAAGTGAGTGACTTTAATGAGTTAAGAGAACTTGTACTGCTCGAAGAGTTTAAAGGGTGTTTGCCTGATCGTGTTGTGGTCTATCTAAATGAACAGAAAGTGACTTCGTTGTCTCACGCAGCCGTGTTAGCGGATGAATTTGTTTTAACCCACAAAAATGTTTTTTCACTTGCACGTTCAGAGAGGTCACAGCCTGCTCCTGTGCAAACCCAAACGTTTCGTTCTAAAAACAGTCCACCTCGTGCTAGAGAGGATCGAGAATGTTTTTATTGTCACAAACAAGGACATGTGATCGCAGATTGTTTGACGTTAAAACGCAAGCAGCAGCCTAAAAGCGTAGGGTTTGTGAAAACTGTTAAGCCGACTGTTAGTGTGCCTAATGTGAGGAAAATTGATGACAGTTATCAACCTTTTATCTTGAAAGGGTTAATTTCTTTAAACGGAAATTGTGACGACCAGAAAGAAATAAGAATGCTCAGAGACACCGGTGCAATGCAATCTTTTATTGTGGCAGATAGATTACCATTGACTGAGGACACTTTCTGTGGCTCAAGTGTGATAGTTCAGGGTATTGACATGAGTTGTATAACTGTGCCATTACATCGTATACATTTGCAGAGTGAGTTATGTACCGGATTTGTAAGAGTGGCGGTACGTCCTTCTCTTCCTGTTCAGGGCGTTGATTTTATCCTTGGAAATGATCTAGCTGGAGGAAAAATCTTGCCTGTGTTAGAAGTTGTTGCAAAACCAGATGTGTGTAGTCAATCAGATGATGTGTCACATACTTACCCTGAAGTTTTTCCCGCATGCGCTGTCACTCGCGCTCAGTCGCGTAAAGTGGGTGATATGGTGGATTTGTCTGACTCTGTTTTTATCCCTCTTCTTGCTGGTGACGAATCATTGTGCACTGTTACGTCATCAAAAATAGATAAATCACAGTCAGAGAAAATGAGAGAAAATGTGTCTGACGCACCAGAATTGAAAATGTCCGTGTCACGAGAGAAAATTATTTCTGCACAGAAAGAAGATAAATCTCTCATTACTGCTTTTAATTCTGCTGTCTCTCTTGAGGTAGCTAAAAATCAGAAAGTTGCTTATTTTCTTGAGAATGAGTTATTGATGAGAAAGTGGTGTTCTAGCACAAACGATTCAGATTGGAATGTTGTGGATCAGGTGGTCATTCCTTCTCCTTATCGTCAGCATGTGTTATGTTTAGCGCATGATCATCAGCTTGCCGGTCACTTAGGAATTACGAAAACGTATGATAGGATTTTACAGCACTTCTTTTGGCCAGGCTTGAAGAAGGATGTTGCTCAGTACTGCCGTACTTGTCACACATGTCAAACTGTTGGGAAGCCGAACCAGGTGATTCGTCCTGCTCCACTGTTTCCCATACCAGCAATCGGGGAGCCGTTCGAGCATGTGCTCATAGACTGTGTTGGGCCGTTGCCTAAAACAAAATTGGGTAACCAGTTTTGTTTACCATAATGTGCATGTCTACTAGGTTTCCAGAGGCAATTCCACTGAGAAAAATCACCGCACCCGTTATTGTCAAAGCATTAGTGAAGTTCTTTTCCACTTTCGGTCTTCCGAAAATAGTACAAAGCGATCAGGGCACAAATTTTTTATCAAGACTTTTTAAACAAGTGCTGGAGTCTTTAGAAATTTCTCACCGAGTTTCAAGTGCGTACCATCCACAAAGCCAGGGCGCACTTGAACGCTTTCACCAGACACTTAAGTCGATGCTTAAGAAGTACTGCATGGACACTGCTAAAGACTGGGATGAGGGGGTTCCCTTAGTATTATTCGCGGTAAGAGAGACTGTACAAGAATCTCTTGGTTTCAGTCCAGCCGAACTTGTATTCGGACATCAGATGAGAGGACCTTTGAAAGTTTTTAAAGAACACATTTTGACCACTGTTTCAAGTCCTCACACGAATGTACTGGATTATGTGAGTAAGTTTCGAGATCGTTTGCATACTGCTTGGTCACTAGCTAAAGAATCTCTAGGAAATGCTCAGAAAAGCATGAAGCGCAAGTATGATCAGAGAGCAGTTGCGCGTTCGTTTTCAGCCGGTGATAAAGTGTTGGTGCTTTTACCTGTTCCAGGATCATCTTTGTCCGCCCGTTTCTTTGGTCCTTATGTGGTGAAACAGAAAATGAGTGAAACTGACTATGTGCTTTACACACCTGACAGAAAACGTCAAACCCGAGTTTGTCACATAAACATGCTAAAAGCTTACCATGACAGGGAGATGCCTGAGGTGAAAACTTCAGAGGAGACTGCAGGGCCCGCTGTCTCATCTGTCGCATTAGCCGTGGATCTGTTAAAACCTGTTGATATCTCGGGGGCTGACGAGGATGGGGTCGTGCTTCGCAATGCTCCTCAGCAGTGTGCAAGGTTAGCTAATTCCGAGATTTTAAAAGATCTTCACTCGTATCTGAATCATTTAACTCCTGACCAGAGAACTGACATTGTTAAAATAATATCTGATTTTAACTGTCTGTTTAGTGATGTTCCTAAACAAACAAATGTTTTACAACATGATATTGTTGTAAATGATGCTCGTCCTATTAAGCAACATGCTTATCGCATAAATGCAGTCAAGAAATCTGTTATGCGTCAAGAAGTGAATTATCTGCTTGAGAATAATTTAGCCAGGCCTAGTTGCAGTCCCTGGAGTTCTCCGTGTCTTCTCGTTCCTAAACCGGATGGCACGTTTAGATTTTGCACTGATTTTCGAAAAGTGAACGCTGTAACGGTGCCAGACAGTTATCCGTTACCGCGAATGGAAGACTGTGTTGATAATATTGGGTCTGCTCGTTTTGTCACTAAGCTGGATATGTTGAAAGGATACTGGCAAGTTCCACTTACTCCGCAAGCATCCGAGATTTCAGCGTTTGTAACTCCAGACAAGTTCTTACAATATACAGCGATGGCTTTCGGTCTCAGAAATGCTCCCGCTACGTTCCAGCGTCTTGTAAATATTGTCTTGACTGATGTACCTAATTGCAATGCTTATCTCGATGATTTGGTTTTATACTCTGTAACTTGGAAGGAACATGTGTGCTTGTTGAGAACGGTGTTTGAACGTCTACGTGCAGCTAACTTAACTCTCAACTTGGCAAAGTGTGAGTTTGGTCGAGCGACTGTCACTTATCTGGGTAAAGAGGTTGGACAAGGCCAGGTACGACCAGTGGAGGCTAAGGTTACCGCTATTGCAGATTTTCCAGTCCCTACCACTCGACGACAGTTGCGAAGATTTCTAGGTATGGCTGGTTATTACCGCAGTTTCTGTAAAAACTTCTCAACCGTTGTTACTCCTCTCACCTCGTTGCTTAGTCCATCTAAACTTTTTAAATGGTCTGTGGAGTGTCAGAATGCTTTTGATTGTGTCAAAATGCTTTTATGTAATGCACCTGTTCTCGTTGCACCTGATTGTACGCATACTTTCAAGCTTGAGGTCGATGCCAGTGCTGTTGGAGCAGGAGCTGTTCTTCTTCAGGAGGATACCCATGGTATAGATCATCCTGTGAGTTATTATTCCCGTAAGTTTAATAAACATCAGCTTAACTATTCTACCATTGAAAAAGAAGCACTTGCTCTCTTGCTTGCTCTCCAGCATTTCGAAGTTTACCTCGGTTCCAGTAGTCTTCCTATCACAGTCTTCACCGATCATAACCCTCTAGTGTTTTTATCCAGGATGTACAATCAAAACCAGCGTTTGATGCGCTGGGCTCTAGTACTCCAGAATTATAATTTGGAGATCAAGCACAAAAAGGGTGTTGATAATGTTTTGGCTGACGCTCTTTCGAGAGTGTAAAAATATTGTCTGTTTTAACTTGTTTTTCACAAACAGGTTTGCTCTTAAGGGTGGGAGTGTTACGTCCCTGTGGTTCCGCGTATGTGTTTTCTTTTGGTTTCTCTTTCTCTGCTATCACCTTCTTAGGTGTGCGTCCTCACTCATCTGCTGTTGGCTGGGAGAGATGTCAATCATCATTACATCGTGACGTCATCTCCTTCCCGCCGCCTATCAAGTTCAACACTCGAGTTTAAAGGGAAGCGGGAGAGGAACGCATGTCGGCTTGCTTTTCTTTTCTGTCGCTTTGCTTGCCGCCTTTGTGTTTATTTTCCGTTACAGATATTGTCCTGTTGTTTTTTCTTTCTGCCATGACGGCGTGTTTTGAGATTACCAAGTGTAATGTGTTCTGCCATGACGGCGTGTTTTGAGATTACCAAGTGTAATGTGTTTTGCCATGACGGCGTGTTCTGAGATTGCTAAGAGTAATGTGTTCTGCCATGATGGCGTGTTTTGAGGTTACCAAGAGAAATTCGGACAGGTAATATGTCACGTGACGTACACAAAGCAACACTTAGCAAACTCGATGTATACAAACCCCAGGTAGGGAAGTGAACGCCACCCATGGATGTTTTGTTATTAGTTAGAACAGCTAGAGAGGGCGCTTAGGCGCTGAAGATTACTGTCTTTTCTTTTCTTTTTGTTATTAGTTAGTAAGAGGTTGGGACTAGATAGTCGGAGTTTGTTTTGTTTCTTTCTTTTATTTGGCGTCACTATTTATGTCCTTATTCTCTTGGGTTGTTTATTTTTTTGAACTCTCAATCTGTTTATATTTTGTTTATTTTCTTGGTGTCCACAAATATATTTATCATCATTATTATTATTGTCCATCTTTTGCATTTACACTTCAAGTACAATAAACCGTACTTTATTTTCTTTCATAATACTTTGTTGTGTCGTCTCTTGCCACCTTAAATACACCATCTTCTGGTCACGACCTCAATGTTGCCCCTTTAAAGACCTTTTGTCTAAGGGTGCGTAACAGTCACGGTTTCGGAAAAGACTTCTTCGAGATTATTCTCCATAAACAGCTGGAATAGGTCCACAGCACCACGGCAGGCACAGAACTCTTGCTTGCTGTAGATAAGACTGAGCTCTGTCTTGAGCTTGCTTCCATTGAGCATCGGGTACGCTCTGATGGTGCTGCTCAATGCATCGGCAGGAAAGGTATCCTTGTACTCGTCAAACCTGTCCCCCTGCAACAAGGTGGCACAGACAAGGTGGTCTGTGAAGGAGAAACGCTCCCTAGTGTTTCCCAGGATTGTGTCACAGACCTATAGAGATAATTAAACAATATATAAATGTAAGGTAGTAGCCAGTCATCATATACTCACCCTCATGTTTTTTTCAAACCTGTATGAATTAATTTCTTCTGCTAAACAGAAAGGAAGATATTTAGAAGATTGATACCGTGAGAAATTTACATTCTCAGGAAAACAGCCACTTATCAGTTAATCGTTAATCGATCGATAAGGTCAATCAACTAAAGATTAATGAATTAATCGATAACTTGCATCCCTAATTTGATCATTTATATTTATGTTGCCAATTTATAATTTTTGGGATGCTGTTGTATAATATTAAAATGATGATTTTTGTAAGGATTTATACCAAACTAAAATAGTTTTCTTGAGTCTGTAGAATATGATATGCAGGCAGGACATTTCTGCAGCACAACAATATACCATGTTTTAGCATGATTTACCATGATATACCCCATTTCAGTGTGATTTTTCATTATTTACAATGTTCCAGTATGATTTACCATGAATCTAGCATGATTTACCATAGTTTACCATGATATGCCAAGTTCTAGTATGATTCACCATGATTTACCACAATTGAACATATTCTAGTATGATTTAATATGATTCTAGCATGATTTACCATGTTATAGGATGATTTACCATGATATACCATGTTTCTATCGTGATTTACCATGATGCACTATATTGCTAGCATTAATGTGAAGTGTCAATAAAAACGAAGTGATAAACTTTGACAAAATATGATTGTGTTATAATAGTTCACATGGAAAAACTGGTTTGCTTTAGTGCAGAATACTGGTGAAAATCAAGTGTGTCAAAATGAAAGTGAGCCAATAAGTGGTCTTCTACTGCCCTCTGCTGGTCACTCTACTTATTAATAAAGTGTTTTCACAAGTGCTTTTGCATTCATATGTAGACATTAGGGATGCACGATATATCGACCACATATCGATATCGGCCGATAAATGATCTTTTTTTATGTTATCGTTATCGGTCCGATAAGAAAATTGGGCCGATATATCAAAGCCGATAGATAGATTATTTACTTCAGTTGAGAGATGCGCGCGGTTCGCCATGATGGTTCTGAATGATTGGATTCACTTCGAAAAGGAAGATATAGTTCAGTGCAACATGTGCAGCACAAATCTGTCACATAGGCTTCATAACATTATAATAAAAACACGCAAAAGAATGTTGTGAAGTGTTGTTCGCCAGTGTTTCAGCGCGACGAGCGCGTTGTGGCGGAGAGAGCGCGTCTATGGAGTTTAGCCTTCGTGACAAGCACAGTCAAGTTCTCTTGAGCATTCCCAGCATTCTGCGCCATTGTAAGTTGTAATATGTTTATTTTGTGTATATATATCTGATTAATCTAATATAGGATGCGTTTGGTTGAGTTAATGAACGATGCAGTAGCGCTTCATTGTACCGCTGATCATCTTTAGCGTGATCATATTTGATCATCTTAGCGTTGCGCAGCTCAAACAGCAATGCACATCTATAACTATAATTGGGACTGTCATATACATCCATGCCATTATAATGAGAACACTATTGTAATAAAACGTTGTGAATTCTCTGTTTAGTTGCCGTTTCAGCGCGTTGTCGTGAGAATAGCGCGTCCAGAACAGGGATTAGCCTACACATTATGACCAGCACAAGTTCGATTATGCATTCACGTCATTTTGCGCAGATAAGTCGTAATATAAAGTTGATGTAATATAAATATCTGATTAATCTCACATATGATGCGTTTCGTGGATTTAAACACCCTGCTAGAAAAGCTCTTCAGTTTCCCGGTGCTCGTTCTCTTCAGCTTCAGCGCGCGCAGATTAAACAACAGTGCAAAACATTAAAAGCTATGATTGGGACTGTCATACAATTATAATTGTTTTCACTATTGTAATACATTTGTAAATTCTTTGGGTTTGCATTCTTCAGCAACCGTTGAGTTGATGAACCTTTAGCAATCACGGCCTTCTCTTCAGCTCCAGCGCGCGCAGCTCACACAGCATGTCATTTGAAACAGTAACTAAGCTATTAAAGATGTTTACTATCAATGTAATATTACAAATGTTTAATTTTTTTCAAAAACATTGCGTTATAATTAATAACTAACATTATTTTGTTCTCGTATTATTTTTATCAACGATATGGTTTGATTAAAATATTTTTTTCTTATTGTCCGTGCGGACGCGATTCCATTTTATTGATCCATGGATTATTGACATGCATTTTGTTTCTTTATATGCAGCCCAATGTTATCCAATGACTTGTTTGCATTATTTATGTATTTTATTTTTTGTTAGGCAATAGATTTTTTGATAACACTTTACAATAAGGTCTCATATTGTTAATGCATTGACTAACAGAGAGCAATAGCCTTTGTTATTGTTAGTTAATAAAATATGTGCGTTCATGTTAGTTCACAGTGCATTGACTAATGTTAACAGATACAACTTTCTTAAAAATGTTTTATAAAATTGTTGGGTCATGCTAACTAATGCTAACAAAATTAAACCTTATTATAAAGTACCATTTTTTAATAAAGAAAGTTGTCCATATGAGTGTAAAATAAATTTTAAAAGATAAGGAATCTTACACTGGTTCAAACTAGGCTATACTGTGTTGTATAGGTTTTAATTTATGTTAAAAGTGTTTGAGACAAGGCTTTTAATGGTGAGCCTTTTGTTATACAGGCTATCAAAGTATATAAAAATTTTAATTTAGATTTATCGGCCAATATTACCGATATATTGGCCATATATTGGCCAATATATCGGTTATCGGCTTTCAAATGTAAAGAATTATCGGTTATCGGTATCGGCCAAAATGTTCATATCGGTGCATCCCTATTTCTGACGTAGAACCACGACGCGCGACACGTTTTACACTACGTCAACAGCGTTGGAGAATGACCTTGAAGGTGAAGGTCCATTTAACATTTGACACGTACGAATAAAGTTTGTGATCTTTGAGTTTATTTAAGAGGTCACGCCGTGATGTTTCGATCTTCTATTGGTCACACATCTCCACTCCATATGGGAGTAAACATTCATTCTCAAATCAGAGTTCACCAAACTTGACTTTGGTGCACGGCAAACTTTCCATGAGTTTGCATATCCAGTCTCCTGCATTTGCATGCGTATGAATGGAAGTCAGTGTAGTGTAGTGTGATGTCCCTTTCGTCAAACAAACAGATGCCTCCAGCAGTGTACTGCACATAGATCAAACATTGTAATGCAATGTTATATGTTTATTTTTGGCTTATGGGGGCTTAACCGGCCATCTTCTGCGTGCAAAATGATATGGCTAGAGTTTAAACTTCAGAATTCCATACGAATGCCAAGGGATATGTTGGAAGATTCTTGTTGGGCCTAATGCGTAATACCATGGTGTTTTACATGCACAAATGGTCACAACACGTCATCAGTATGCAAATAAACCGTTTCCATCATCTTAAAGGAATAGTTCACCTCAAAATGAAGATTCTGTCATCATTTACTCACCCTCAAGTTGTTTCAAACCTGTATGAATTTCTTTCTTTTGCTGAACACAAAAGTAAACAGTTGATGGTCACCCCAGTGACTTCCATAGTATTTTTTTTCCTAGTAAAGAAAGGGGGTCCATCAACTGTTTAGTTATTTACATCCTTCAAAATATCTTCCTTTGTGTTCCAGAACTTTCATTTTGACGTGAACTATTTAACAAACACAAAATTCAAGATAATCTGCATTTAGTGCATTAAATTTCTGTATTAATTGATTCTGAGAGTTTATTTGCGTTAACTTTATTTTCAAAATGTGCATCAAAAATAGTTGGATGGAAAACCCTGACTTATATATATATATATATATATATATATGTGTGCTCAGTTACCTTTCCCTACCCCTCTAACTTGCCGGATATGTTACCCCTATTTATTCTGGGACCTTGGATTTTACTAATGAAGCACTGGTATGACATTTTACAACATGAACTAACTTTGCCTTGTCTGGTTGTGTTATTAGTGTGCTAAGAAAGGAACTACTGTACTTGAACTTAGTTTTGTGTAGTGATGATGCGTTTGATATCCGTATTAAACAGATGTGTTCGTCTTTTTTTCCGTCCAGGACAACCGTGTGCACATTGGTCCAAAGATGGAGATCCGGGTTGTGACTTTGGGCTTAGATGGAGCTGGCAAAACTACTATTCTCTTCAAACTGAAGCAAGATGAGTTTATGCAGCCCATACCGACCATAGGTATCCTTGTGCAACGGAAAACATGTACTGAAATGCGAACATGCAACTGTGTTCAGATAATAAAGAATTCTCTTTCTGTTTTAGGTTTTAATGTTGAAACTGTTGAATACAAAAACCTGAAATTCACCATTTGGGATGTGGGTGGCAAGCATAAACTCCGCCCACTCTGGAAACACTACTATCTGAACACACAAGGTAACTCTGCTACTTCTGGAGTTAAAAATTCACTTCACTGTGGCTTCTTCGTTCATAATGAAATTCACACAATCACATTACTTGCACTTTAATGAGTGTGTATGACTGAAGCTGGTCGTTTGTTCTGTCTCCCAGCGGTGGTGTTTGTGATTGACAGCTGTCACCGAGACCGGCTGATGGAGTCTCACAGTGAACTGGCCAAACTGCTGACCGAGAAAGAGCTCAGAGATGCTCTGCTGCTCATCTTCGCCAACAAACAGGTGAAAGATGTGAACAAATGATTATGTTTTGAACATGGCATTAAAAAAAATTAATAATATTGTCCCCCAGAATATTTTGTTGTATGAATATCTGAACATGCAATTTATCAAAAGAAAGAACAGAGCCTCTGCTTTTAAACAAAAGCCATTTTATTCTAGCTTCATGAATTCTTTTTTGTTAACACCTGAATGTGGGTAAGTTTCATTTTAAAAAAAAGCAACATTTTGAACGAAAAGGCCTACAACGTGCATAGGCAATGCTTTAAACGCTTGTTTTACTGGAGATTCTCTACTCTTTCAGAAGATGCATGTAACAGGTTTTGCCAGTATGTGTGTCCGCTGTGAACTCTTGACCAAGACTCTGTGACGTGTTTCTGTAGGACGTCCCCGGCGCGGTGTCCGTGGAGGAGATGACGGAGCTCCTGAGCTTACACAAACTGTGCTGCGGGCGCAGCTGGCACATCCAGGGCTGTGACGCCCGCAGTGGCATGGGGCTTCACGAGGGCCTGGACTGGCTCTCACGCCAGCTGGTGGCCGCAGGAGTTTTGGATGTGGCCTGAGGGACGCTTACCCACTCTTAATAGACTTGTGACTTACAACTCAAGCCTGTCCGTGTCATTTGCACAGTCACCCTGCTCATGTTTACCCATGTCATACCATCATACATCAGTAGACTTGCTGCTGTGTGCGCTTGTGGTTCAATGGTGTTCATTAATGGAGCTCATATAGGACTCCAGGTTAAATACAAGGCAACATATCCTGCAGGTTATCAACAAACATAATTTCAGCTCATCACTCAGTTTCTAAATAAAAACAAAGTTTTGAAACTTATTATGGAAGCCTATGGGCAAGTGTGCTTCATAGACTTCCATTGGAAATGCTTTACTGCATAAAAAAAAGAAAAGATTTTTATTTATTATTACAAAGTGAGTTGAAATTGTGTTGTAAACAAAAATATGTGTGGTAAACAAAACTATATTTGCAGATGCTGTCCATAAAGTTGATTAACATGAACTATTCCTTTGAAAAGAAGTTAACGAACATGACTAACTAAACTTACTGTCCCTTCTGTTAAAACCAAGACATTTAACATCTGGTTTATGATGCTTGTCTTTTCAAGGTCAGTTTGCTCATTCGCCTAATAGTAACTAATGCCTGGAGATATTTCTAGATGTGCTCAAGCTAAATATACTGGTCATTTTTGTACAGACACCCATTTAAAATCCCTTTAGTATCATGTGTGCAAACAGCACAAGGTTTATATATAGATCTATTAAATGTTTTAATCGTAGGTAAAGCCCCTTAGATAAGTTTGAAACGAGGCTCCATCACCAGATTCATGGTTACTGTAATGTGAAGTGCCTGTTGTGTCAGATTAACCAGTTACTGAAATCATCGGAAAGGTCATGTGATCAAATCCATTGCCATTGATCAAACGTTACATGCAAGTAATTGGGTGAATTTCACAAAACATGTCAACAACATGTATACAACATGTATAGGTCATGCTTCCCTTTAATATATACAATTTATTTTGCATTAATTTATAACATTAAACTTGTTCTAGGAACATAAAATTTTAGCATTATAACATTGTTCAATACAATCAAGCACATTCTTATCTTATATTCTCATTACTGTAATATAATGTGAAATTGTTTTAGATAATTATTTAGACATGGTAGTATCGCCTTTATGGATATTTATTCAAATAAATATTAAAATCGCCACTGGGATTTAAACACATCTGTAAGGAATATAATGTGCTTAATTGTTATGAAAATGTCAATGTTAAAATTCTGAATGGTAGAAATATATATTTTTTTCATTATGCAAAATTACAATTTTTGGACCCTTTAAATGTGACCCACACATGTTTTTTTGCTGTTGTTGTGAGATTCACCTAAAGACATACCATTATTCTTAACATCTCCAGCTGTTTTTATGGCTGTTGTGAGTTTTTTGGGGCTTTAAAATGAGCCTGTAAATATTTATTGAAATGTCCTTTGTGGTCTTATGACTGATGCATGGGTGTAGGTGTATTTTCACCATGTATGAAGAGATGGATGTGTTTGTGGCAAAAAACAATGTTACTGATTATTTATATTTTAAAGGAGAATTGTAGTTGTCATGAAAAAAAAAAAAAGTATAAACCAGTTTCCAGTTCATCAGTCCACTGCTTATTAATATCTGGCTGTATCTTGATTTGTTGGAACAAGTATTTCTTAGCATCTGAAAGGCAAAAACATTACATTTACATTCATTGATATATTTCATGTATAACGCAACTGTGGCCGTATGTAAATGCTCCATTACTTGACATTATCCGCATTAGGAACCATCCTTTGTTTTGAAACATTGATCCTCATTGCCATGTAATGTTGAATAACTGTACTTAGATAAAAGCATGTGTGAAGACTTTCCCTGTGCCCTATTGTAGGAGGATCTGAAGTTCCCTTTCGAGAGGTTCCTCCTATTGCGTAAGCTTACGCTATGGGAAAACTCCTTTTCTCGAGAAATATTGAAGTCTTTATGTAAAACGCATTGCAGCTGCACAGCATACAGCAATGAGCGAGGCAGCTCGGTCATTGGCTGTGCTGCGGCAACTTGCACGAACCAATGACGGGGCGACTCTGAACCCGCTTCCAATGAGCGTGCTTCGCGCCCACGCGCGTCAGAGCCCGCCGAGATGGGCGTGGCCAAGGGCTATATATTGGGCGCCCCGTCGTCTGAGTTCTTTAGATTTAATCTCCTTCAGCAAAGAACCTTCTCTTCGCTGGATCCTCCGGATTTATTGGAGTCTTTTCGCCGCCGCCGTCGACAAGCCTACAGCAGGACTGCTTCGAGGACGCCGGCGCCTTCAGCCGCCTTCGATCGCCCTTCTGCTAAGCCATCCGGCGCGCACCATCTATATCCTTTTTCAAAAAGCTATCAGTGTTCGCCCCCGCGACACTTTCTCTAAAAGAGTCAAATTTCTCAAGGCGTTGTTTCAAATGCCTTCCTGCGCCTCGTGTCGAGGCCCTCTTCAGGACGGGGATCGTCACATCATCTGCGCCCGCTGCTTGGGACCGGACCACGCAGAGGCTGCCCTTACTCGAGGCGGATGTCCCGAGTGTGACGCCCTGGGCCTCACCGAGCTGCGCGCTCGCTTCGCCGTTTTCACCGCGAAAGAGCCCACCTCTTCCGTGCTGCCATCTCCTCTAGTCGAGCCGCGAAAGAAAAAACGCCGCTCACAGAGGCCGCCGGAGCACGCGGTTTGCAGTGATGTCACGCCGGGCCAATCCCCGCGTGCTTCACCACCACCCGAAGACTCCCCGCCGCCAGTCCAGTTCACACAGGCGGACCAGCACCCCTCCAGCGGAGCGATGGGGCTCGTCTCGTTTGGCGCGTCAGGGGATGACGATGATAAGGATGACAGTTTTTCCTGTGATGCTGCATCCGACGATTGGCCGGGCTCGTCCTTCGACCCCGCGCCATCGACATTAGCGGGCACGAGCGCGGGCTCCAGCATGGACTCTGAGATCGTCCGCATTCTCTCTAAGGCCGTGGAAGACCTCGGGCTCGATTGGTCTTCCCCGGAAGAACCCGCCCGCAGCCGACTGGACGAGTGGTTCCTGCAGGGGCGCCGACAGGCCCCTCGACAAAGACCCTCCCCCTTCTTCCCGGAAGTTCACGACGAACTCACGAAGTCGTGGAAAGCCCCGCACTCCGCTCGCCTGAAGCCTTCTTTTTCTTCGTCGCTCTCCTCTGTGGACGGCGCAAAAGAAAGAGGCTATGAGGGGACTCCGCCCCTCGAGGAAGCTGTGGCCAATCATCTGTGTCCACCCTCCAACGCTGGATGGAAAGCTAAAGCTTCTCATCCCTCGAAGCCTTGCCGATCTACTTCAGCTCTCGCCGGTCGCGCATACGCCGCCGCCGGCCAAGCTGCATCAGCGCTTCACTCTATGGCTGTCCTCCAGGTTTTTCAAGCCAAACTTCTCCGCAGTATGGACGAGTCTGGACCCGATCCTGAGGCATTTAAGGACCTACGCAGCGCCACTGACATAGCGCTGCGAGCTACAAAAGCCACCGCCCAATCCATCGGCCGTGCTATGGCTAACCTGACTGTCCTTGAGCGCCATCTGTGGCTGACGCTAACAGAAATGAAGGATGCAGATAAGGCGTCATTTCTCGACGCGCCTATCTCCCAAAGCGGCCTGTTTGGACCAGCGGTGAAGGAGTTCGCCGAGCGCTTCACCGAAGCCCGTAAGGACTCACAGGCTATGCGTCACTTCCTGCCCAAGCGATCTAGCTCATCGCAGAGCCGCCAGCGGCCGCCTCAGCAGCAGCGAGCTAAGACGGCGCCCCCCGTCTCTCAGCCCAAACCTGAAACGGATTTTCGACGCCGCTCGCGCTCCGCCAACAGGAAACAGCCGCCCGAGCGACGGGGACCTCGGCCCAGGATTGTGCTGAACCCAGAGCCTCGTAAGTCCTCCTAGCTACAGGGAGGAAAAGGGAGAGCGCGTGTCTCGCAAGAGCCGGACCGTTCTCTCCAAAACGTTTAAAGTATTACCCAGTCCCCTTACAGGCGGTTGGAAATGTCTATACAGCAGCCAATGTGCCAGCCACACAGCTCGCCCACCTGCAAACAAACGCCGTTTTTACGGCGACACACAGAAATCACATAAAGAGCTATTTTCTGCCTGTGTCATTAAAGGGTCACGTGTCCACACCAAAGTGCGCATTCCCACATATCAAAACTGTAAACTCAGTGCCAAATGTTTTCCCAGCTCAGGCTTGACGCCCCATAAATGTAGATTGTGTGCCAACTGTTACGTATGCACCACTACACACAAGCACTGTTCCCACAGTTATAAACACTTCCCCAGTAAAAGCGGGAAGTTGTATAAGAGTAGCGCGTGTGCCCGCTGTTATGCACGCACCCCATCTCACAAACACTGTTTATATGGCCAAAAACCTCCCGCCACGAGCGGGAAGTTTTATGAAAGTGGCGCGCGTGCCTACCACAGTCTATGCACCCCCACCCATAAGCACTATACACACAGTGTTAAACATTTCCCCATCTCACTCTGTGAGCGTTACAGCGAGCGTGCCTGTAATCTCACACGCACCCCTGCACTCGGCATTCAACAAAGCTGCTCAGCGCGCGCCCGCGCCGCTGACAGCTGTGAGCTCGGTATTTACACAGAACGATTCGCTGGCGGGAGCCATACGTCACTGCGACACGCCCAGCGCCGCCGCTCCCACCACGCGCATCACGCGCTGTGCGTAGGGCACCAAGTGCTGAGGGGGCACCAAAAATAGCCTAATGAAAAACCAATCATCAAACTTCTTGTTATAATCAGATTCAGCGCGTTCTTCCTCTTCATTCCGCAGCGGCGCCGAGCAGAGACAGAGAGCACGTCAGAAACACAGGACAGGGTGTGTGTGTGTGTGTGTGTGTGTGTGTGATGTGTTCATGTGTGTGTTCATCATTGGTCTGTCACTGCTCGTCAATGTCAGAATATTTGAGATGACCAATCAAATCAAAGTAGGCGGGCTTTATGTTCACAGACGCTGAGCGCGAATTTTAACAGTGCAACTCGACGCTTCAGTGTACGGTCAAGTGCGAGATAAGATGTAAGTAGCTAAACTTAACTTTATTTGACAGTTTTTTTTTTAGGTCATAAATGTTAAACGAATGACAAAAAATAATTAGGCAAACTAATATAGTTTTGTCTAATTTCGCCATTTTGAACTGAAAATAGGCCTATATGTAACATGTAGCCTAGTGTAATAGTTTAGGCTACTGTCATTGTGAGGGGACAAGAAACATGAACAAAGCCGTTTTCATCATGTTAGGCACAGGATTTATAATGAATGTGTACATATTGAGAATAAAATACAAATTGTAACCTTTAGTAAATTAAAAAAGCCAACTTTAGGAGGGGA